CGCCCTCCCAATAATGGCCGTAACTGTTCTGCAAACCCGGATGACAACGAATTTGCTCTTCAAGTACTGAAGGCAAGGGATTACTAGCCGAGAGTTTTCTACGGACTTATGGCATCCTTAAAACTATGTTCCTTTGGTTATTTACAAGAATGAAACATATAAAAGTCTCTCAGTTACAGAAGAACCTGAGAAAACTAACAGCTTATCGTCTGATTGTTTTTCAAGATTCAGTAGTACAATAATAATGTGACGTCATTATATTTTGTAACCGCGCCAGTAAACTAGTAGTGGCTATTGTCTCAGTGTTATAATAAACCTTGCATAGTAGTTATGGAGACATTTTGTTATTGCTGCCTTTACCACTATAGAAAAGTCTTTGATCAATACGTTCATATCGAAATGCAGTTCAAATGTATTTTAGACCTTAAACAAAGCTTTATTGATAGCTTTAATGATGCTTTGTATGAAAAATTTTACATCGTTCGTAGATGCATGAGACCCTATTTTCAACACTGGATGCGGGATTGAGGATTCTCTTTGATTTGGCCTTTGATCCAGCGAAAAAATAAGGAGTAGGGAGAGGGGGTGGGGCAACAAATGAATGCTTTCTTCCCCACGCCCTGCTCTTTCCCCCTTTTTTCCCCTTCCCTTCCCCACTTCGCTGCAGACGTCATTTTCGCCGGAGACAAGTGACAATCAGAAATACGTCTGCCTTCGCAGGCTAAACTTCTCCCCATTTTTTGCCCACCCGAGGCTCGCTCGATTGCTCTCACGGTTACTCGATCTCCCCGCTTGGAAAATATAAAGGAAACGTCTGCTAGGCAAGCTTGTCGCATGTCGACTTGATTCACAGTGTTTTGTCGCGCACCTCTAAATGTGCGTAAGGAATAACAACAATAGGAAACCGATTACTTGCAGGAAAAGCTGGACCGCCGAAGGCACCTCCTAATTATTCATTTAAGTAACGCGAGCTACATGCTGCCAGTCACGCTTGGTGCCGCTTAGCAAGGAATTGTTTTCTATTAATTGTAACTTACTCTGTGTAAATAAAGGCTTAGTATCATTTGTTTCATCCTTTTATTTTTCTAATCTGAAAAATACGAGAAGTCTAGTGTATTTCTGTTATATTTATAGGCCTAAGATTTTCTTTCCAAATCCGATTCCATATTTCGAGACATTTCTTCTCATTTAATTACTGTAAAACATTACAATCCCATCTCTTGAGGAAGTTATTTGCCCGTGTCATTGAAGGCGTCCAAAAATTTCCGACAATTATTATTTACTTGTTGAAGTTGTCCTCTCATTCGTTTTCTGATACACTTGATAATACTGAAATTCAACATGTGCACTTCCTTATAAAGTTATTGCAATCTGTGTCAAGAGCAGCATTACAAATATGCTGTAACAGTAAATTTTGTAGTTTTGTGTGAAAATATCACTGCTACAATTAAACAAACATTTAACATGATCCTCAGTTACAGCAGTACAGAGTTCATCCGTTACAACGCTAATATGACCTGTTCAGTTTTCACAAAGATCTTGAAATTTTAACCATTGAGTTCATGTTAAGTGCAATTGGTCGCGGCGTTTTCAAGTAAGTCCAGGTAGATTCTTTTATGCTTATGCTTATGCTTATGTCGTTATTGTGTCCAGTGGGGATATGTTGGCATGAGCATAAGCATAAGCATAAGCATATTAAAAAGCACAAACGGAAGACTATCAGCCAATCAGCGAGCACTTTATGCTTATGTCAACGATGTCCTCACTAAGCAGAAGCGTAACCAGAAGCATAAAGGCCTGTCCAAACAGGGAATGTTTTGTGGTCAAACATCATCAAACATTGCTTGGTGACCAGACATGCTGATGTGGAAGTGAGTGGCCAAACGGTTAAAACATGTTTGATCAAACACAAATCAAACTATGAATACAAGCCGCTGAGCAAGCAAAGTATGCATGCGCGCGCCAAACATGTTTGATAAGGCTGTCTAAACGAACAAAACATCGCCCATGAAACACGAGAACAAAAGAAATATTGTTTGATCGAATGTTTGATGGCCTTCAAAATTTATCAAACACGACCAAACAGCACCAAACAAGGTCGCCAAACTGTAAAATGTTTGGTCACCAAACATTATTTGATGGTGTTTGGTCGCCAAACATTTCCCGTTTGGACAGACCTTCAGAAGAACGCTTGCTTATGCTTATGTCGCGGCCGTCCCCACAAGAGCATAAGTTTCTTATGCTTATGCTTATGCTTATGCTTATGCTTATGCTTATGCTTATGCTTATGCTTATGCTTATGCTTATGCTTATGCTTATACTTATCCTTGCGATCGGGCTTATCAGCATGTACTGGATATATTCCAGGCATATATTTTATAAAACAACTCAAACACTGGGAATATAGCAGCAGAAGGAACGTAAGTAACGGTGAGTCCTTCTTTCCTGTTTTAAACCATTAACTTCCAACGAATAACCTCGTGATTTGCATAAAATTGAACTCGCTCACATGCCGCAACAGTTCATAACTTTCCTGGTGGAAAAAACAATAACCAATTTTTCCTAAAATGTGGATATTCGACCAAATGGTATTTACATGAGGCCATTTATACTAGTCAAAGTTAGCCTTTATTTTTTCCTTTCCAAGAGACACAAATGGCGGCTTTACAAATACGCTTAGCTAAAATGCTACAAACAAAACTTCAAGAAACTTATTTCACGATTTTAAAGTATAAGAATAGAATAATAGGATCGTTCTTACGGCCCCGCTGTTTTCGTAAAGAAACGTGAAATTTTGGATATTTTAGGCCCGAAAACCGCCTTTATAAAGAAATTTCTTTCCATAAAAAATCGTTCGAGCTCTAAGCTATTTTCCTTGAATAAGTTCACCCAAAGGTGTTTTTTGCGAAATAAAAAAAAAAATGTATTTTTTTCATGATTGTCTTTGAATTCTCGACATTCTGAGAAAATCATTCTTAATATGTTGCCCGATGCATTCGCGGTTCTTGAATACATTAATCTAGTTTTTGGCACTCAGAAAGCATTTGCTGCTATTTGGTTCTCCGAGGACCTTTTGAGTTCCTTTCTGCCTAGTTCCTGTATTGCCACAGAATTCACTTCTGGAATGCGACAATTGTTTTCCTTCTTCGACGCAGACATTTCCATTAGAGTGACAGAAGACTGCTGAGTCAGTTGACTGTTACATTGCATTAGACTCAATTTCAATTTGCGCGAATTTGCCCTTAAATTAACCGAAAATTGTGCCGTTCTCAACCAATCAGATTTGAGAACTCTTTCAGTTAGTAAAAGACCTTAGACAATTTTCGCTTTTCCCTGTGTATTCACATAAGTTTGATTGACATTTTTCCTTGCTTCATGCCTTCTCCTAATTTACAAGCGTCTTTTTACAAGGTACTTCACTCGAAGATTCTTCCGTTTCGTTTTTCTACTTATTGTGCGAAATTTTCATTTTTTATTCTGAATTTTTTTTGTAATAAAAAGTAACGTTAAGAAATTACGACGTTTCGACCTCTCCGAGGTCATTTTCAAGTGGGAATAAAAATTATAAAATTAGCATAAATATGTTTCTAACAGTACAACAATAGTCACAGTAGTTAAAAATGTCACGAACGGTAGAATGCAACAAAATGAGTAACATAAGTGATAAAAATATTTACAAAGTTAAAAAAGGGGAACTAAAACAATGAGACAATAAAACAATAAAACAATACTAATAAACTTAACGCATTGATCTAAACAAAGAATTCAATGCGAATTGAATCACACTGTTTGTTCAGTGTTGGTAAAAAAAACAATTCGAAAATAAGACAGTAAAGTTTGTCCTGACACTTTCTTAAAATTTTAAAACCTTGCTCGATGTCATCCGGCTTCTTTACACATTACTCTCTTAGGTGGTTTCCAACTGCCGATCCTTGTGGTCTTTGTGGTCTTCAATTCGTTGGTGTAGGCCGACAAAACCTGCACTAAACAGGTCACGCTTAAGACAATACACTACGCATAGCTTATTCACTAGGGGCGGCTTGTCTTCCCTCACTTTGATATCGTCCTTGATCCTTCGACTTGTGCACGCTGGGCTAATTTCTGCATTGATCTTTCGAATGAGGTCGCTAAGCTGTCTGCGTACTGCGTTGGCAGATTTCTGGTCTTTAAAAGGCAGCACGACTCTAACTGGAGCTTCTGTCTTCTCATATACTTAGGTACGTAAATCTTCAGACCCTTTTGAATTAATGAATTGACGGATGGTAGACTGCACGACGGTCACTGTTGAACACCATGCTTTATCGTGCGTTTAAGCTCTCATCTACTTGGAAGTTGTTTCATGAGGAATGTGAACGCTTTAAAGAGACCTTTGCCCGACTGCACTACCCAAACAGTCTTGTGCAGTCTAACAGTCTACTTTTTAACTTCGTAAATATTTTTATCACTTATCTTACTGACATATTTTATTGCATTCTATCGTTCGTGACATTTTTTACTGTTAGATACATATATATGCTAATTTCATCTATTTTTGACTCTCACTCTAAACGTCCTGATTTTTTATCGTTAGTCTTTACTACAAAATCCTCTCAAAGAAATAAATCATCAAGATTCTGAAATTTTTAATGCGGTTTTTCTTGTTTTTATTAAAGCTTCTTAGCACAAGCGTTCTTTACACCATTTCTTGACCGCCTTTCTTAGCCGTCTTCCGTCCTCTGACAAAGTTCTGAGTATTTTGAAGAACATGGGCCTCGACGGCCAATTTTTCCAATTTCCGTTTAGAAATGAACACTGTCATTACCTATTTAGGTTATGAAAAGCTAAGCTTTTAGATCTGAACAGGTCTAAATGATAGCGACATTGAAAAGTAAAATCTAAGTTCATTTTTTACCTGGTGCCGTCCTCGACGTTGCTGACGCCGAAGCTCCCTATCACGACAATTTTTTATCGCAATGTTCAACAAAGGGCAATTTGCCGGCGAATGATAAATGGAGACAAAAAACATAAAAGGGATATACGCTTCACGTCCAGAATACAACGGCAGAGCGTTTTCGTTTATCGCCAAGGAGACAAATTAGCAAACAGATGCTTGAGCGATTTTCAATTGGGTGTCAAAAGTAATCAGGCAATTACTTTGCTTTTGGTTTTATTACGGTTTGAGATTGGTTGAGTAGTCTAACTGGCAAGTATAGAGCAGTTTTCGATTGAGTGTCGTAAAACCAAAACCGAGACTAAAGTAATTGTCTGATTACTTTCAACGCTCTAATATTGGTTTGGTTTTGGCTTTACGGCACTTAGCTGACAACCGCACTTATTGGTTTGGTTTTCAGTCAGTCGATTGTAAACCGAATTGTTGTCATTGTTGATAGACAACAATCCACAAATAATCACAACAAACCTGAAATCTAATTTTCCTCTCTTCACATCCAGGTCTTGATATCATTTATGCTTGATAACGTATTTTTGAAGTTATATGTATGTTTTACAACATTTAACATTAATCTTCATAACAAGCTAAGTAATTTAAAATCTAACTGTAATCCCATGATTATGCTTTTCACAGGCTTCACTGTGCATGTATTTATCTTGCGGCCCGGTGGGGATAGGTATCGATAAAATAATGTTCGTATATCACAGTTAAATACAAATAATTTTACACTGATCTCATAAGGGCTATACAGCAGTCTCCGGTGATTATGTGATGTTAAAATTACAGACTGAAAGATACAGGCAGGTGCTAGGAACCTTTTTGTGTTTGTCCAACTCTGACAGGTTTAAAAATTTACATTTTCTTCATTTCATCAAAATTCTATTTTCAACTTCATGGAGGTAAATTTGTTGAGCTTAAAAGACATAGGAAACTAAAGCAATGACAACGGCGACGCCGAGGACGACGCCTGGTAAAAAACTGAATTTATTTTGTCGGAATCGTTCAGATCTTTTCAACCTATCTAAAAACTTGCTCAGGCTAAATATGTAATGATAGAGTTGAATTCTAAAAGGAAATACGAAAACTTGGCTGTTGTGGTTCACGTTCTCCAAAATACTCAGAACTTGGTCATTTCTCGTTGTTGTTTTGCAGCGAACGGCTACGAAATGTACAAATATCTATAACTCACTCCGACATAGTTATTATTCTGCTCATTAAGCCTTTTGTTTGGTGACGTTGTCGTTGCTTTCGTGGTTTCCTTAAGCTCCCTATTTACATTTTAACAAAATATCTAGCTTATTCTCGTTTGTATGCGTGTACTGACCGGATGATAGGTCATCTTTCTTTGAAACTCAACTTCAAACGAGATTTGAAATTATTGTCTGTAAGATATTTAGTAGAATTTTCGGTTACATAACTAAGTACCAAAAGTTCCCGCCTGATTTCAATCGACGAATTATACAGGACTGCATGCCGCTGTAGCAGCCATACTAAAATACTTTAATAATACAGTCTAGCTATGCATTGCAATTGAACGAAGAAAAGTCCTTTTGTAAAGTGAACAAAGGCTTCCGATGGTGACATTTCATGTTTCTCATTGTCAATCTGTCTTGACCAGAATGAACATTTATGACGTCACTTCGGTATTATTTAAATAAGTTTCGCTCGTTCTCCAAGCAGGTGAAAACAGCTCGAAACGACAACACATACAACACATCGCACCATCGCAAATCTGCTACAGCTAAGTTTGAGTTGATCCTTGGATTACTTCAAGCCACAAGCTAGCATTTTGAAATGACCAGGAACAAGATTTTGCCATACTGCAAGGTGATTGTGGGACGTCCTAAGCTTTGCTTTGGTAAGTCGACCTTTCCGTTTCATTTGTCTTCGGTTTATGTCGCCGAGAGTCATGAAACAAGCTCGGATGATGACATGGGTAACATGCTACCAGGCGAATTCTGGGTTGTGTTCAGGTTACATGCTACCAGGCGAATTCTGGGTTGTGTTCAGGTTACAAGCTAGCAATAGAAGCGACGCTGTTGTTAAGTTCGTTCAATTTTAGTTCTTCTTTAAATGGATAGGCTTGGTTACAGGCAAACCGATTGATGAATCTCATGTACAAAATAACTGGTTAAATATATAACAAGTGGTGCTGGAGATGCCAATTCTTTTTATTAAACTGCTCCGCGAAATACGACTAAATATGTGTTTTATTAAATGTTCGTCGTAAATTAATGTAAACTTCCGTTTGTTAAACCCCTGTTTAGGTTTGGCCCTCGCTGCCCATTTCTCAGTTATCATATTAACAGCAATTCTTCATACTACTGGTTATGATATTATTCCGGCGGACTTCTCTCAAGTTCCTCTTAACCTCGAGCAGGATGATTCCAAACTCAGAGCGGATGCTTGGAACTTTGTTGACCAAGACCCGCAAATCGATTTAAACGCTGCCTCGCTCGGTGTTCAAGGAGAACGAGCGGCGAAATACGACATGCTGCAATTGATATACGAGATGGAAAATGGGAACATTTTCACCAAGGAGAACCTGAAGTTGATTCAGAAAACCGAACGAGAATTGTTTGCCAACGAGGTTTTTCGACAGAAGTTGTGTTTGAAGACGCAAAACAGCCAGTGCAAACAACCCACTTCAATAATTAGGTTTTTCGATGGCTCTTATCAAAAGTTTCATCGGTTGCTAAACGATACCGAATTTGATAACATCCCCCGAGTTTTAAGCGCTGCAAAATCCATGAACCACACGAGAGCAATCTTAGATTATCACCTCGGTAAAGACGCGGTGATTAATTCAAAAACCGCGACCTCGCTTTACACTCGAACATTCCTTAGCCTCGGTTTTCCTTTTAAAGGTTTTCAAAGCACAGCGGACCGGCCAGATGATCAGTGGGACTTTGCACAAAAACATTCGGGAGAAGCATTTGCTGAAAAGCTTGACGAGCTTTACGAATCAGGTGTCGGTGAAATGAAATTTTACTACAACCTCAGATCGCTGTTTTTCGATGCTGTGTCCAGACAAGTCATTTTTGATCTCTTACTTGTGCTTGGCAGTTTCGCATTTATTTTCTTTTTCGTGCTGTTTCAGACTCGGTCTCTTTGGATTACTGGATGGGGACTGTTCAGTATCTTTTCTAGCTTTTTTGGCGCTAACTTAATCTACAGAATTGTCTTCGATTTCCGATACATCGGCATTTTTCACGTGTTGTCCGTTTTCATCATTCTTGGTATTGGGGCTGATGATGTATTTGTCTTCTGTGACACTTGGCGTGCGTCAAAGGACAAAGTCTATCCAAATCTGGTCAGTCGGTTTTCTCATGTGTACTCCCATGCAGCTGGTGCCATGTTCATAACATCGTTTACAACAATGGTGGCTTTCATTTCTAACGTGTTTTCGCCGTTGCTAGGCGTTTCGTCATTCGGTACGTTTTCCGCATTGCTTGTCTTTGTCAACTACTGCTCCGTGATCATATTCTTCCCGACAGTTGTAATTACTCACGAGCTCTACTGGAAGAATTGGAAGTGGCCTTGCTGCAAGGTGTTCCACATTTTCTGTGACAGGAATCCACGGGACAACCGGATTTCACCAACACTCACAGGAGACATTGAAGAAGAGAAAGATTCTTCGCTGGAATCTGTTTCAAGCAGTCACACTCGACTGGTGGCCAGGCTCTTTGGAGGAGTTTTCTTTGACAAAGTTGTTGGCCATAAAGTTACCCGGTGGATTATAATTGTTGTATTCACCGTGTTTATCTGCCTGTCAGTGACGTATGCAACACGGATAAAGGTCGACGAGGAGCAGGTAATATAGATATCTTTGCCCCGGTTTGACTGAAATCAGAGTAAAAGCAGCTATGTTATCGTAAATTGTCTCTGGCAGTTTACTGTGTATTCCGTTTCTGTAGGAGAGGTTTCTTCTCCGGACAACATTGTCGAGACAACGTCTACTGGGTTAGTTCAACAGAAATTGGAAGCTTTGGCTCTTGCGAAAAATTATTCAAACGAAAGAGTTCGTTTCCTGGACATAAAGTGAAAGTCTCTTGCTGTGGCTACAGTTTTTCCGGCGTTTTTTTACGCAGTGACTTTTCAGTGGGAGCACGCACATAAGGCCGAATAATTGACGTTTTAGGCCCGGTCCGCACTACGCAGGAGAAATTTGAAAACGCAGCTTTATTTCTACGGTGAGGCCTACCGTCCACACTAATCCGTCACGAAAATGGAGCTTTTCGGAAACGTTCTTCAAACGGAAGGAATTTGAATACGCCAGCTTTGCGGTTTAGTGTGGACGGAAAGCATTTTAAAAACGGAAAACTGACGATGACGCCACGATAATCAAGTGATTTCCCTGTCCTAGTTTTACTCAAAGACAAATCCAAAATGATCGGTGATTGTTGCGTTTTGAAATTTCTTCGGTGTAGTATGGACGGAAAACATTTAATACGTTTACAGACTGAAACGCCGTTTCAAATTTCTCGCGTAGCGTGGACGGAGCCTTAACGTTTAATATTTCTTTTGAAAAAACGACATATTTTTTAATTGATCTAAAACAGTAAAATCGATCTTATAAGAACTTTGTTAAAGACTAAATTTTTGGCAACATTCAGTTGCCTCCGTCAGAGTAGAAGCAGTTTCATCTGCATAATTTACAGTTCTTATTTGCCGTAGGTCCCCAGCTCTGCTTATATTTCATGCTGATAATATTTCTTCTGCATTTGAATATACATAAGCGTACACAATCTTTACTTTAAGTAGCTTAATACATTTTTTTTAACTTGGATACTTATTTAAATAAACAGGTAACTGTGCGAGTTTGAAATTTGAAATCATGAAAACCTATTAAATATGCACTTGCAAGGTTCTATCTTTTCCTTTGTTTTAAATATTCGTATTTCTAGGGAGATCTCGCGAAGAAAAGTTTTTAGGTTCTGAAGCCTTTTTAAACTAAAATAGGCCATTTTCAATATCTTAAAATTCTAACTTGGCCCCGAGGCTTGGGGGAATAAAACAAAAAAAAAATCACATCGTTGTCGAGGATGAATAAGTTATGTTTTATGTCTTATGTTTTATTCCTTAAACCTCGGAGCCAAGTTAGAATTTTAAAATGTCGAAATTGGCCTATTTTGCGCAGATATCGACTTTTGTCGATCCCATTAAATCTCTTGTTTCTACGTTCCGTTATTCTGAATTGCACTGTAATGATCTCATTTTTTTGTAGGTTAATATTTGGGGAAAGGGAACAAACTGGCACAGTGTAAAGCGGCTGACGGCGGTCGCCTTTAAACCGAGCTCAGAAGACAATGTGATCAACTTGTACATCGTATGGGGTTTAAAGAATCAAGACCGCAGTGAATGTCACTTCACAGACTTCAACTGCAAGGGAAACACTGTGCTGGACAGAAGCTTTGATCTGAACCCTCCGCCATGTCAGTTAGCGATGCTGGTAAGATTTGTTAACAGTGGAATACTTTGTTGGGGCAGCTGTTAGATTTCCCGAGAAGATATGTCCTTTATTAATCAACTACGATGAGCTAAATCATTCAGTCAGTAATTCAATCTGTCGGTCTGTCAGAACGTTAGTGAGTGCGGCATCAGTAAGTCAATTTTTCAGTCCATGACCGTCTGTTTGTAAGTCAGTCAGTCAGTCCGTTGGTCCGCAAGTCGGTCAATTGGCCAGTTCGTTTGTCTGTCTGTCTGTCTGTCTGTCTGTCTGTCTGTCTGTCTATCTGTCTATTCGTCAGCTAGTAAGTTCGTCCGTCCGCAAATCTGTTAGATTAAAAAGATTAATGGATCAGCAATTCACTTGACCACTGATGAGTGAATCAATCAATCAATTAGTCATTCAGCCAGTTTATTGAGTCCGTCAGTCATTCGGCAATGGCAAAACCAGAGGAGGAGCCTAGGATTTATTCCTTTTCTTCCTTTTCCCTCCGCTTATTAACAAGCTGGCCACATGCTTTCCCTTTTTAAGATCATTCCCCAGTATTGCATTGCGCATCCCTACTGCGCATAATTTCACGCGTGATTAGCGCGCACGCATTAAAATGGCGGCTTTTTCTTTACGGCTGGACCTCGCCATAGAGGTAAATCATCATTTTCTCGCAAACGAGTATGGTGACCTGTCATTTTTTTTCTGTTGTTTTAAATTGAGTAATAACTTTCTCTGTGTAAAATAAATATGGACCAATTCTCAGTGTAGAACAAAAAAACAATCGTCGGAAACGTGAATTTAGCAAGCAGTCGTGACTACAATCATGGTGCTATTATAGAGCGTTTTCACTCACGTGACCAGCAGCCATGCAAATTTATTGGAACAAAAGAAAGTGTTTACATAAGAAAAGAGTTCAACTCCCACAGGATTGGTTTGGTACACCAACTTGGCCGCTGTTTCATTGTCTTGGAACACCAATATGGCTGCCTTGACGTGATGTGAAAACGCTCTATGAGGATTTATTGGGTATAAACAAGGTGCCGTTGCTCCTAAACGAACATGGGGACCCCCATTTTTATTTCAAAATTTAAGTTCCTATAATATAAACAATCAATAGGAAAAGTTTCACAAAAATAATCTCAGTGCAGGTTCTATTTCAGTGAAATGACCTTAAACACATCTAGACTGTAATCAAGCAGTTGTTTGTTAAACAGTTCAACAATCAATTTCAATTGCATGCTTGGATATCAGCTATAGTTTTGGCTTACTCCACACCTGTTTTGTTTCAGGAATCACAAAGCATTCTAGATTTTAAAATCGTTCATGCTTTCGACCTATTTTGCAAACCAATAGTTGCTTAAATTAATCGATAAATGTTTCAATGAGATCGACCAAGTGAAAGTCACATGTTTTGGTGTAGACACTTACTTAGTCCGTAGCTTCGCTTTGTGAAAAATTTTAAACCGCTTTTTGAAACTGCCGAAGACAAGCTTGTTAATTTAAAATCAGCTTATGTATTAAAAGGTCTCCCTCTCCGCGGTGGCTGATATCTAGAAGCTGAGTAAAACCGATTTAAAACTATTTCGGCCCGGATAATTCAGTGCTAATCCACAAAGTCGGATCATGCATTGTTCTTCAAAGGATTGCGAGAGGTCATGCTGTTATTTCGTTTTTTTAATCTTCTTTTTTTTTTTTTTTTGGTCTTAAATTTGTTACTGATAATAGAATTTACCAGCCATTCAGTCAGTGATAAAAATAAAATACGAGGACAAGGCACTACCACAGAAGTACCTCTGAATAACTCATTTCACTTTATTTACTATCTTTTCATCTGAAGTATTCTAATTTTAGGGATTTTCGTTAAAAGAAAATAAAACCAACAAATTAGTTTTAACACAAATTGGTTATTTTTCTTTAGGATTTCTGCAAAGAGTTAAAAAGTTTGAGTGCTGATAAACTGGAGCAGTTGAAGATACGACGGAATGCGGTTACTGGTGAGCCAGACATACGCTGCTTTCTTCAGGACATGAGTACATTTCTTAAGGTGAGTTTTTCGCTCTATTATGAGAGTGTTTCTGTCGAGGAACTATCGGCTGATAATTGCCTCGAGTATATTTGGTGTTCTTAAAACAAATATTTACCCAAGAAGCGAATCTTCAAGGGAAAACATGCTAGTTTTAAGAACATCAAATTTCCAAAGGGCGTGAAAGCCAAATGTAAAATTTGAAAAAGAAAACAGACAAAAACCCACAAAGTGCAGATCAATCAATATTCATTCATGCGTACAGCCTGTTTACAGAAAAATGTTCACCGAAGAGTACTATCTATCCGGGTATTTTCCTCGGACGGGCACGATGGGCCGATAGTGTCTCTCCGCCGATAAACACTGTTGCGTCACATGATCAAATTAAACCAATAAGAATCGGAGAAAATTTAGTGGTGAACTATCCCACATAGAATTTGACAGCGAATAATCTAATTGTTTTAGTATAAATCTACTACTCGTTTAAAACTTTATCTAAATCTTCTCCACAGACACTTCGAAAACGCAAAGAAGCGGCCGTCATTTTGTTGACAACCGCACACTGCTAAACTTCAACAACTGCTAGGCACACTATTTACATGCACAGAATAGATAGTGAGCAAGAACAATAGTAGATTTATATTAAGAAGGAATAGTCGTGCAAATAAACATGACGTAAGTTTACTCTGAATATTGAGACCAATATTCTCCTTTCTGCAGCCTTACGTACCCGGGGAACTCCCATATGAAAAGGTCGGGGATCCTCGTCGGAAAATTGGAATTAAAACCCTAAAGCAGAACAATCTGGGGGTGGCTCGAGCTTTATTTGACCCCTTAAAGATACCACTTCAAACAAAACAGACTCGATTACCAGCCGTTGTTCAGGTAGTAGACCGGATTCGAGAGACCGGCGGAAATCGAGCCTAAAAATGGAAATAACAGCGGTTTTTACTATTATTTCTTCAAGTGCACCCTAAAATATACTTTGACAGATAAAAATAGTGGCGTTTCTTCATGAACACCCTAAGTGATTTATACCCCTAAGCGAGACGACGACCATCCCCGACCTTTTCATAGGGGAGTCCCCCTCTCCCCCCTCCTCCACCCCCCCTCCCCCGAGGCTTATGTAGTCAGAGACTAGTATAACAAGTCAGTATCGTGCAACATGTCTCATGTGTAACCTTTATCAACCTTTTTTCACTTCTTTTTATCGACAGGATGAAGCAAAAAAGTCCAAATATCCAAATGGTACGGATTTTAGCTTCCCTTTAAACAGCGAAAAAATGAGAACCTTGATGCAATACAACCCTAAATTGTACAACACTTCGAAACTTTCGCAAGCGTACTATCGTTTCTTTGAGATGGCACTTGGCTATTGGTTGACTCGTGGTAACACGTCATACAACAACGATGATTTTGTCACCTATGGTCGGCTCCTTGGAGGGCAGGTTGATCCAACGTCTAAGTTGAAGACACCCAGCTTTCAAGGTAAGCGTTTTGAAATTGTACTCCCTAAGAAAATTAAGCTGCCCCTTACGTAATTATTAGTGTCTTTTATGTAGAAAATAGAGGATCTAAATATGTTGACATAGTTCTGAGTTCTCTCAAGAAAAAGTAGGGAAGTGGATAGATAATTTGCTAACAATCAAATTATTGCATATCAATTGGCCCCTACTCCCCTGGAGGTCTTTGGATGGACATTCTCACTTTAAATGATGTTATGTTTAGAAGAGAAGGTATTTAAGGGCCCATTAACCGATCTTTTCGAGCCGTTGCTAAGGAAAATTTATTCTAATGTAATCTCATCATTTTTAGTCAGTTCAGAGTTATTTCATTTGTTTTAACTTTTTCATGATCAGCAACACTAATGATGATGTCATCAGGCCACGCCCATGGTCATGTGACTAATACTGAAAAAAACGCAAAGGCTCCCAGGCAAATTACTTTATCGGGATTTTTTTTTGCTGATTTAATATTTTGATATAAATTCTCATTACGCTATGCATAGATTTTGTTTCATTTCTAAAAGGTCGGATCTTGAGGGAATTTCAAAATATTAAAAAATTCGCAATTTTCTGAAAAAAGCATGATTTCGAAAAAGGAATGCATAGCTATGTTTCCAACGTTGGCGTTAATCGAAATCCGTCAAAAAAGGCTGGATTTAATGGAAAACCGCGTTTCCTTTAGCATTTAAAGAAACCGGAAGTGCGCCCGATATATATTGGAAGTCACCCTATCAGCGCGTGCGCAATTTACACTACCAGCGCACTTCGGTAAGATCAAACAAAGCCACACGGAGTTAGTTTTTCTCTTTCTATTGCTCTTGTTTTTCTGTCTTTCTCTTATTTTGTCGTTGCTTGTACTTTTTTTACTTTGCATTTTGTGAAACACAAAGAAAAACATCGAAAATGTTTAGCGAATTTGGAAGTTATTGAGTTGTTTTTATTTTCCGCGCTCAGACTGACGTAAGTAATCGGGAGTGAAATTTCACCTCCTTAGCAACGCGCGCGAGCGCGCGCTTAAATCGGTTAATGGGCCCTTAAGGATCGAACTTAATGGAGTACTGAACAATTCACGCGCATGTTACAGAATTATGTGTCAATTTAATGGGAACTACGATATGCTCTTTAACTTGGTATGCGTTAACCACTTTTGCAATTAAGAGAACTAAATGACACGCTCTCTGTAAGATCGGCGAAATGATTTGTTGTTCCTCTCACTTTACAGTTATCTCAACGTTCTGTCTTCGTCATCTCTATACTTTTACTTCGTCTGGAATCTTGGTATTGATAATTTATTTATTTATTTATGTAATACTGATTTAGGTGGTAAATATGGCAACAATCTTTTGTACGCCGGAATCAAGGTCCATACCACAATGACTATGGGTAGCTTAGGATACAAGAAAGGACTTGTTACCTATGATGCTTGGGAGGAATTTGTAAACCAAAAGGTACTAAAACTTGTTTACACTTGAGGTGGCTCAAAACAGTTTTCTGTTGTTTTTTTTTTTGAGACTTTTAGAACTAGGTGCGGTTTTTCAGGCTTGGAACTGTACTGCTTTGAATGGCTGTGCTATTTTTTAAGGAAACTTTCCACTGTACCTTTCATTGTGGTTAAGTCATAAATAAGGGTGCACTGTTCTGTTGCATAGTAACAAACTTGACCCACTTTTTACCATCGATTCCATTTATCTTAAAAGCTAGGCCGGTGATCCTATATTGTTTTATTAAAATCTTTTTGACTATGTACGCTCATTCTTGACCTTGGTGTGTAAATAAACGAACAATTATTCTTGTCACAAGGTCTGAAAAATCGTAAACGAAGCTTTCGACTGTATCGCACAGTCTTCATCAGCGATTAAAGTGAGCTCACGTTGTCACGTGAATGCAAATTGTTCAATCACATGACAGATGGTCAAAAATGGCGGGAAGATCATAGCCCCTGTCTCTGTTCAGTGTTGGGCGTTGACGTCTGATATGGATGGCCTCCTTCTCAATTTCCCCTCCAACCATCATCTACATCATAAACGTTCAGTTGTGAGGACCCTCCTACACAGAGCAGAACACCTTGCTAGCGAGGAGGAAGATAAGGCAAAGGAAGTACGGCACATCCAGAATGCTCTACTCGCAAATGGTTACAAACGCTGGATATTTAAAGTCCCTTCTCGACCCAGCCCCACAAGTCAGGAGAACAGCACCTCGGAGACACCTAGACCAACCTCCGTAAGCCTGCCTTATGTGTCTGGACTCTCAGAACATCTTAGTAGAGTCTTTAGGGCACAAGACATCCGCACATACCACACGCCTTACAACAAGCTGAGGTCCATCTTAGTCCATCCAAAAGACAGGACACCAACTGAAAAGAAGACGGGCGTGGTATACGACATCACATGCAACGATTGCGGAGAGCATTGCATTGGCGAGACAGCGAGAACTCTGGAGAAGCGACTGGGTGAACATCAGAAACAAACAACATCTGCATTCCGGGAACACCAGTCTTAGGCCAACCACGAGATCGACTGGGAAGGAGTCAAGATTCTTGATAAAGAGTCAGTAGATATCAAAAGGAAAATCAAGGAGGCCATCCATATCAGACGTCAACGCCCAACACTGAACAGAGACAGGGGCTATGATCTTCCTGCCATTTTTGACCATCTGTTGTCACGTGATTAAACAATTTGCATTCACGTGACAACGTGAGCTCACTTTAATCGCTGATGAAGACTGTGCGATACAGTCGAAAGCTTCGTTTACGATTTTTTAGACCTTGTGACAAGAATAATTGTTCGTTTAAAATCGTTTTATTACATACAGAAGAAGAAAGAGGGAAAATGATTAAAAAAAATTGTGGAGTGGATTTTGCATAAATTTAAAACAGTGGAAATTTCCAAGTTGGAAAAATTCCGCATTTCGTACGTACATTCCGCTTTTGCTGTTGACTAATTTTTTGCATTAAAAAAGTAGGGTCACCGAATTAGTTTTTGAGATATTAGCTTCGAGGATGAGGAATTTTTCACGCGTGTTCAATGCATAAATTAAAATCTCGACTTTGCAAGATCGCACTTTGTGCACACATGAAGGCGGTCCGCTGCTCAGTAAAGCCCGCAATTCCGCGCGAAAAAACGCAAATACCCGAAAATAGTGTTTCCTTTTTCGCTGTTGTCGTTAGCAGCATTATCTGCAGTAGAAGAGTACCATAAATACCCGAAGGTGAGACTGGCACAGTAAAAGGACGAACAAAACCGGAAGAGTAGTTTTTTCCTGCTGTATTTTAGATTGATAACCGGCGCGATCGATCGCAACACCAACATCACAATTTTCGTTTACGTTCCAGCACAGTGGTTAAAAAGAATACTTTCTCCTTTGAAATTGCCTGAAGGATGGATGTTTTCGAAGGTAAAAATAAGCGATATCGCAAACAGCTCTCTAAAGTCAGCGGAAACAAAGTTTTACGAAGTAGTCCTCGAGCCGCCATTTTTGCAAACTTTAAATCTCGCGCGCTATCTCGCGACCCCTCGGGTGATCGCGTGACGCCTCGTGCTGAAGTGCGCGTTAGAGCCCAGGCTTCTCACGGAAACATTACTGTTTTGAACCACCTTAGATTAGGCTGTGTTCTTGGGTTCCGAATAAAGCATCCGCCGAAATATGTTTGTTAAAGAGTGTTGTGTGTTTCTTTAAAAAGTTATTTGTGGGACAAACCAAGCAGCAGCTCGAGATCAAAGCCCTATATATCTGCCTGGAGTGTAGGCACGACTTTGTTGTTTGTCTTGTTTCTTACTCAAGTGACTGCCTAAACATATAGTTTCAACATGGACAATAAACAAGCAATGGACCTACATGATTATCAAATGGTTCCCTGCTCAAAATATATGTATACCTCCCTAAGCAACCAAAAGTAACATGAAATCAGGCATAAGAGAATGACACTTGAGTTAAGATCCTACAAGAAACGTTCCTTTTCTAATTTTCAAGGCGACAGTGTCTCCGTGCATCCAGAAGCACATTGCAGTTCAAAAACTAACTTCTCAGGCTTTCAGTCCCGTCAGTTCTGAGTTTACCTTTGACGACAGTTTTGTTATTTCTCTTCCTGAATTTTGTCTAAGAGCAACTTGTGTTGTCACCTATACTCATTCCACCGCTATCTTCGCATGTTGTACTGCTTGAAAAGTCCCATGTGCTCTCCTTTTGTAGCAAAACCTGACGTTTGTTGAAAAATTCATAGACGGGTAAACTCGTGCGCCGAAGTGCATTCCAACTTTGAATAAACTGAATTTGTTTGCAGATGAGTGCAATGCCATCATCATGTGATAATGCTTTCCAGACCACTCCTGAGGCGGCACTGGCGTGGCATTGGATCAAAGTACAACAGGTTTGAAGAATAAAGTTCTGAGTAAATAGTATTTTATATATTGAGTTTCTTGCGTTGCGTTGCGTTGCGTTCATTTTTTTCATGATGTTTTAGTATATTTTGCCATCTCTTAATCAATTTGGAATGCAATCATTACAATGAGTCAAGTTGTCACACTTGCTGTTGTTCATCTTCCGCACTGTCTCAGGATTAGTTACTACGTTTCACTGCAAAACTGTCTCGTTCTTCTTTATGTTTCCATTTTCACAGGTTCTTGTTCGAAGCGCAGTAAATGGCATTATCATTGGTCTATGCCTTACTCTACCCCTGTTGATAATCATGACCACAAACTGGATTGTGGCATTGCTATGCTGTATGACAATTTCTTTTATCACGGTTGGCGTGGTCGGTATCATTCCACTAGTCGGATGGAAGCTCGGAATACTCGAGTCCCTGAACCTGACCCTAGTCGTTGGATTAGCCGTTGATTACGTGGTCCATCTCGCAGACGGCTACGTCCGCTCCCAGAAGCACTCGCGCGGCGACAAGGTGCGCGAGACGCTGGGTCACGTGGGTATTTCTGTGTTGTCAGGCGCGTGCACAACCGTAGGAGCGTCCATTTTTATGCTGTTTGCGCGAATTCTCTTCTTTTTTCAATTTGGAATCTTTATTTTTTGCACAATTGGACTCTCGATATTTTACGCGTTATTTTTCTTCACCACTGTCCTCGCTCTGGTAGGACCTGAAGGCAGCAGGGGTTCAATACTACCGCTAGTGCGCTATGTGAGAGACAAACTGCGCAACAAGAAACCCACAGATGTCACTTGTCAGCAATGCGATGGACGAGGATTTCATGCCCAGCCCCCTCGAGAGAACAGCACATTTACTCCTGTAGATATCTCGTAAAACCTTGCTATGTCCTTGGGAATGTAAATATCGATTAATTTTACAGGAACATAATTTACAGAAGCAAAACCATTTGAAGAATAAAATGTTAATGCTGTCGCATTAGTTTTTTGTACAGCGGTATGTTGTGCTATAGTTACCAGTTTTTCGCTCGGACAACTGTCACAGGTAGTTCTAGCATGTGTTACACTGTTCGACACAAGGTTGTACCTCGGCGGATCTATGCGAATTTCACGTCGTTAAATTTGTTGTATTTCAAGGTTCTTATCGTCAACGGTCTTTATTCGTCCTATTCACGTAAAGGTTCAAAGGAAACGGAGGGCGTTGTAAACAAAGAAATTCACGGAGCGATTAAAGGTACAAACAGTTTTGTTTAACCGAGTGTTTGGTCTCCAGAATAGTATTTGCTATCGACGGTTACATAAAATGTGGCCAGTTTCTTTCTCATTTCAAAACACCTTACCTCATCTTTAGTAATCTCACCCTTAAGCTGAAGCTAAGTTTCAGTATCATACAGATTCACTCCTTACATTACGCTATCTCTCATGTTGGTGTCACAGTACCACAAAACTGTTAATAGTACGGTCGATCACTGGGATGGGAAGGCGAAGGAGGCACGTCCGAGTGTCCATGTTATAGAGACTGAAATGATAAGAATGCTGTTTTTTTTTTCTGGGTTCAAGTGAACTGTCCATAATATTGAGGTGCCAGTATCACGGAGCTCTTCGACTGTACCGGACAATTTCATTCCCAGAGCCACTCGTCCCTCTTAGCTGCGGGGCCTTGGCAAAGAGGAAAAGCTGGTCATAAAGATATAATTTTGATTAGCAAGATTCCAAGATTTTCGCTACTTCAACGACGTTTTCTTTCCGAAATATATTTACTGGTTGATATCTCACTAAAACGGTTTATGTAGAGGACCTACAGACCTTAACGGGTTTTGACAAAGGAAATTTAAAATAGATGTAAAATTCTGAATGGAAGAGGAATTGATGTGTTTGGTCGAAGATGACTTAATTCATTGAGAACTTTTTGCTAAAACTTCGTTAAGGTCTGTAGGTGCTGTAATCGAACAGTTTGCGGTGAAGATCCACTAGTGAGTATTTTCGGGAGGGAAACCAGCATTTTAGGCCAAGAATCTAGCCAATCAAATCATGTTTCTCCTCGTGCAAAGCCCCTTCCCTTAATATATATTAAAGGCAGAAACCTCGCGTTGGTGGTCATTGTTTTTCCCCAGGGCCACCCCCTTGTGTTCGGGCTCTTTTTCAAATCCCCTGCGGATAATACTTTTTGATCTCGACGAACGGAACGTCTGTGGACATACTAGTAACTTTTTGTAAACCCCGGCAGAGTATTAACTTGAGTCGTGTTATTTGAGGGCTTTTTCCGCTGACAGAAAGCCTTCCCAACCATCAAATTAAATAGGTTAGTTTTAGTCTCTTGGACACGATGACATTGCCATAAATGCATGTAGTATGTTTTAAAAGTCAATAAACCTCGTCCACGTCAGCTTTAGACAAAAACTGCACATAAACAGTGTTGGCATGGAGAGTCAGTCAATAGTTTCTTCAGAATATGTAGTTTCTTCTGCTCTTATTGCAGTAGACTTATGATAGCCAGAAATGATTTAAACTAAGACGAATTAAACAGGCTTCCGGTATGTTAGCACTAGCATAAGTCAAATTTTAAAAAATGTAATTTTATTTGTATTTTAATTAATTCTCACGCAAGGCTACCGTACATTAGAGAACAAACAAACTTTACGAAAATTAAATGTTATGAAAATCAAATTTTCTTTTTCTAAATTCTGGACTCGGTATTTCGGAAAAGGTCAGAAACACTATACTCGTGAAGTCATGATCAATACCTGTTCCCCTCAGCTCGAAATCGTTAATGGTTCAAGATGTTTTACACCTTCCAATTTAAATTCATTGTTCTGAAAACGAAACATGAACAAAATGCATTATGTCAGCTGGAGTTGTTCACACCGTTGACTGAACAAGTTGCAAAAGTCATATATGGGAATACCGAATACAAGAGAACAATGACTCGACAAGGAGCCAGAACTAAGGAAAGTTTAGCAGTTGTTGAACGCTTTTGCATAAATAACCTATATTGGTGTCGACTTTTAAATTAATGTATAATTTATTCAATTTATCCAATGTATCAAAGAAAACTATGAAAGCAGATAAACTGAACATACGGTGTACTCCTTACTAAAAGTTCCAAGACGATGAAGAGATCGTTTATTCGGAAGATTGAGCAAATTAGCTTTTGCTGAGAGCGAATTGGGGCTGGAAACAACGTGAAACATAAATGTTGACGATGAAAGCGATGTCATGTCGACATCTGACATAAACAAGCGCGTATTGGTCGCGTTTTGTGTCATTGCTTTGTTTCGAAAGCTTATCAACGGAAATCTCAAATAATTTCACTTTTCTCTCACTTTCAAGAGGTGTTGACTTTTCATATTCCTCTGAGTGAGACTTGTGTTATGGGCAATCAAGAGGGTCAAACTTTATATTTGACTCGACACGTGTTGTTAATTGAACGATTTCCATGTGGTCCACCAGTTAATAGCGTGACGAGACAAAACAATGAAGATGATTGGGTTACCATGCATAACAGAACGGAAAAGAAAGTTCCCAACATGAGTTCACTTTTTATTCTAACAGTTTGACAGCTTGTTTGCAAGACTTCTTCATTTAGACAGATAACGCGAGTGTCAAGTCTTTTCTTGGCGCATACAATCAACCACAGAAAATTTTTTTGCGCGTCCTTATTGTAATTCTAAGTAAACAACAATTCACTTGACCGATAATGCAATTTGATAGTCTAAAATTTCCCATTGTCAAAAATTTCCCTCGGTAAATTTTCTTTTTCTCAAAGCGGTCGATTATGTTGTGAGCAGCGTCAAGTTTATGTCAAAGGTAAAAATGAATGAGTCTTTCGCTTTCCAGAAACCTCTCTTGTCAGACTTGCCTCATTGTATGAGTTATTTTGCACTTCCTTTGAGAAAATTGCGTAAAAGAAGTACAAAACAGTACGAGTTCAAATTGCTCGTATGGTATAGCGCCAATGAACCGAAAAAGATCCAATGTGGTGTAAAAATTGTTCATAGCACCTGCAACAAGCGGTGTCTTCTGTCATTACCCAACAAAGACAACAAAGGCGCTTGCAGAGCGACAAACCGCTGGAGCGGTCATTTGCATGCGCAAGCGAATTATGTAAATGATTTACTGCTCAGTGTTGAAAGGAAAACAAGAACCAAGGTTGAGTAATACGGCCGGTGGTGTACGTTTGAACATGTACCTTCTTTGTCCGATCATTGCCAGAATGACACAGTTGAAATAACGTCCACGGTAATGGCGGCTTGGGTGTTTCGCTTCCTCGTACGGAGGCCGAAACTCTGCTTCGGTAAGTGATTTTACAAGAAGGTTTTCTCCCCCATTTTTCTTAAAACTCATTTTGTTTAGTACACAAATGAAATGTTTTTCTCGTTTGAATTGTATCGACAGGCTTGACCCTTGGAGCTCATTTTGTCTTACTTCTAGTGACGGGTTCTTTGTATCTTTCTGGTTACGACATTTTGCCGGCCGATTTCACCCAGGTGCCCTTAAATCTCGAAGACGATGTGACAAAACTTCGTGCGGACGCGTGGAAATTCGCCCGGCAAGATTCCCGAGTAAACATAAATCCCACATCCGTGGGAATTCAGGGCGAAAGGACTATCCAATACGACATGCTGGAGTTGATGTACGACGCACAACAAGGCAATACCTTCACAAAACAGAATCTGAAATTAATTCACGACGTAGAGATTGAAATCTTCAACAATTCTATTTATCAGCAACGCCTTTGCCAGGTCATGGCAAATGGCCTTTGTAAATTGCCCTTGTCGATTATTCGCTTCTTTGACGGCAGTTATAGATCAATTCATCCAGATCTGTTCGATCCCGAGTTTGAAAATATCACGAGAATTCTAATCCTGGCTAACTCTATGAACATAACTCGGGCTATGCTAGACTTTCATCTGGACAAGCACGCGGTAATCCATTCCGCTAGCGATGTTGCTGTTCAATCACGATACACCAGATCGTTATTTTACATTGGTTATCCTCTTAAAGGATTCCACAACACAGAGGACCGCGTCGACGAACAGTGGGACGAAGCTCAGTTTTTCGCGAGCGAGGCATTTGCCAAGTTGTTGGATAAAAAATTCAAACAAGGAATCGGTGCCATGAAATTTTATTATTTTCTCCGCGCTTTATTTTTTAATGCCATTTCGCAGCAGGTTATATATGATCTTCTTCTGGCCGGTGCAAGCTTTACATTTATCTTCCTATTTATGCTCTTTCAGACTCAGTCCCTTTGGATAACAGGCTGGGCCGTGTTTAGCATACTCACGTGTTTCTTCGGCGCGAATTTGATTTACCGAGTGATATTGGACTGTCGGTACATCGGCATTTTTCACGTCCTTTCTGTGTTTATAATCCTTGGCATTGGAGCGGATGATGTATTTGTGTTTATTGACACATGGAAATCTTCGGAGTCAATGGCCTTTCGCAACATGGCAGCAAGGATGTCATTGGTTTACCGGCGCGCGGCCAGTGCCATGTTTACAACTTCCTTCACTACGATGGTGGCTTTTGTGACAAGCGTGTTTTCCCCACTCTTGGGTGTGTCCACCTTCGGCATATTTTCAGCGCTGCTAGTTTTTGTAAATTTTTGCTCCGTGATAATTTTCTTTCCTACTGTAATAATAACTTACGAGTACTACTGGAAAGCCTATCGTTGGCATTGCTTTGGGGATTTGAAAGCGTGGCAGGCAATAACGTCACGTAGAGAAGATATAATTCAGGGCGAGGGACCGGAAGAACAACAACGAGAGGAGAAATTCGTGGAACCGAGCAAGCTTGTCAGCAAGTTCCTTGAAAATAGCTTCTTCGAAAATTTCATTGCGCACAGGACAATTCGATGGATTATCTTGGGAGTGTTTTTCATTTTTCTTTGCGTTTCAATTGGATTTGCCACACAGCTCACTCCAGATGAAGAGCCGGTGAGTTTTATATTCCACCTGAGACGATTAAGATACGTAGACACTAACAATGAACGACTGACTGTAGCAACAGGGCGTCAGTACAGTCTACTCTTTAGTCGTTGTGCTGGTAATTATTTCACTTGGCTCTAACTGTGACTGTTATATCAGGTGTTGTTATGTTTCAGTGCACTTGTTAAATTCTGTAGTTTTCGTTGGACCGTATTCAGGCTCGGCAGGTTTAATTTTGGACACATTAAGTTTAAAAGTGAAAAGACTGAAACACGCGCTTGGCTTGAAAAAAAATTTGGAGTCGACATTTTCATAAAAAAATAATTAAAGTAACCGTGCCATGTTTTATAGAAATCAACTTCAGTTTCATGGAGCCGTTGGTTTTCGACTAATTCTTTCTGTGTCGCATTTGCATATTCTAAACCATTTTCGTTTAAAAACAAAGAAGTCAAAGTACTTAAATTCGGCTTTCTCGTTATAACTCGCCCCTGGCTACTGTCATTAATTTTTTTTCAGTTACGGTATGACTGTAGCAGTGAAAGTGAAAACTTATAGTATGAATGTCCCAAAGAACGTTATTGCAAAAATATACTAGATACACTGAACATTTAAGGTAAGGTCATGAAGTGTGACTTGTCCCATCATGTTTTGACATGACAGGAAATTCTGGTTTTGTTCATGTGATTTGATAGCTGTTAAATTCGGATCTTCATCTTTCTTCACGAAAAAAAATATTTCTTCGCGAAAATAACATGGAAACCACACGTATCCGCAAAAATTATTTCTCGAAATCGAAAAAATTATATATTCTTTCACTGGAGAAGAATGTTACATAAATAAATGATGTTCCTGTTTAGGTGCGTGTAGAAAGATTTGGATCTGATAAAAAACAACTTTCTGTATAATTTGATTTCACACAAGCTGTATTTACTCATCAAAACTGGCGACAGTTTGAGCTATCGACTTTCTATTCTTGTTAATTCTTAAAAAACGTCTTCTTCAGAAATTTCAGTGTTTTGTGTCAGAGATTGTATATAATACCTGTTTTTTCTGTTTTTGGTTTTTTTTCTGACAATTTTCAGACCTGTCGCTGTGAACGTCACGCGGTAAACGACGTGTATATCAAATCTGGCCACAGTTGGCAAAGGTCCTGGGGTGTTTCAAACTTCAACAAGCATTCCAAATTGAAACATTTTGCACGGTGAAGGTTTTAGAGGAAAACGAATTTGTATCAATTCAATCCAATAAGGAAAACACATTGTTTATGATTTAACTTTCTCATGAAAAAAAAACCGCTGCTGATCCTTGTGACAGAATAATAATAACATTCATTCATATCTTAATTCAAATGAAGTATTTTATTATTAATGAAGAGTTTACAAATACCTTCTTAGTACGTTACAACAATAAAGGTTGCAATTTGTACAAATTTCAAATTGCTTGAAAATCATTCTTCGTTGCACAAATCAATTTAGTGAACTGTATGCATCTTTAAGGTTTCAAAGTGCCTTCTGTTTACACATAGGTTAACTTTTGGCAGTTATCCTAAATTTCCTCTGATAAACAAAATACGCAAAGGGAAAAACAATTCATAATAATCTATAAAGCAAAAAGGATAATTAAGACAAGTCATCTTGATAAGTTCAACAAATTAACGCTATCTGAAATAACTTGTACTAAGGTATTTTGTTTTTATTATGTAGTATTTTTAGTCTATTATTTAGAAGGGCCAAGGCTCGATTCCCTGAGCTGAACGATTCTCTCTTGCGTGTTTCAGTCTTTCTTTACTCAGTCGGTATGAGCAATATGTGCAAGTCGACTAGGATATTTCCACTCTTCAGGAGAAAGATAACAAACAATCTATAAACTCATTGATGTATGAAAATGGCTCCGTTCCAGTCTCAAGTTGTTGTTTCCACGCGGAGTCTTATTCACTGCTGCACTCATTTTCGATAGTCTAGATTAGTAACGAAGATTTTAATTAAATTGAGGCGCAAAATTTCTGTTCGCCGGGTGAAATATTAAAGGAATACTCATTACATTGGCTGCAGTAAATGTGAAGCCTTGGAGCCGACTGGCTCATAGCTGCCGGAGCTTATCCCGGTTTCTGTAGCATGAAGCGGCTAGAAGTATTTCTACTCCCTGCGGCTGCGGTAAAAGACAGGCTATCTTTGTGAAGGCAACTGGAAGCGCACATGCACATTCGCTTAATGATAGGGCGTATGCAGCAGCGATGAAAAGCAAGGGTACAGTGAAGTACCAAATTTAGCTGAGACCTATATATTCCACTTTGTTATTGACAGGTGGACGTCTGGGGCCCGGGCACTAACTGGTACAGTATCAAACAGTTAAGGCGCTCCGCGTTTCGTCCGAGTCAAGAAGACGACGTTGTTGAAGTTCACATCATCTGGGGTCTGAAGAATCAAGATCGGAGTTCATGTCACTTTACAGACTTTAAGTGCAAAGGAAGGACGGTGTTTGATACCAGTTTTGATCTCAACCCGTCAGACTGTCAGGTGGCCTTGCTAGTAAGTAATTTGTCCTTCCGTCCGCACGGTCATTTACAAATTCATTCATTATGGAAGCAGCATGGCCGAGTGGTTAGGGCGCCGGACTTGAAATCTGGAAGTCGCTGGTTCAAGTCCCGCTCTGACCGCTAAGTTGGAGTTGTTTCTCGGTAGACCCCAGTTCAACTCCTCGGTCATGCTTGTAAAAAGCCAACTGGTCTGCCTCCCGTCAGGTGGGATTTTTTTGCTTATTATGTTTATATGCAATATTTGTTTCTTTCACTTTAAGTGGCATGCGTGAAAACTAGCTAGTTGCATCGACCACTATAAACATTTCAGATTAAACATTTAACATTTTTTAACATTACAAACATGCATGCATTATTAGAGGTTGGCAATCTTTCCTTCAGTTTATCAATCATTCATCCATTGACAGTGATTCAGTCATAGTTCATTCTTCTTTCCTTCCGTTCATCCCTTCATTCGTCCATCCACCATCCATCCATCCATCCCTTCATCCATCCATCCATCCATCCATTATTTTATCAATTCAATTAAGATAAATATACTTGCTTAGTTTTGATAAATAATTTTGAAAAATGGTTTTGATCGCGTAATACCCTTTCCTATCGATTGGCTTCTTCGATGTTACCTGAATGCTGTGTTTTTTCATTTATTCAAGGACTTTTGCAAAGAACTGAAGAATTTACCAGATCACCAGGTCACAAACTTGGAAATAAGACGAAACGCCGTCTCTGGAGAACCAGAAATCCAATGTTTTATGGAGAGACTGAATGAATACCTTCAGGTGAGCAAAAAGAAATAATTTCTCTATCTTAGCACAACTGAAAAATTCCTACGAATCACAATTCAACAATCTGGAGGAGGACCTGCATCATTTGCAAAGTTCTTCATGATTGGCCGTACGCAAGAATAGTTAAACACATACATACAGGTGCAGATAAACGAAAGCGAATGAAAATAGAGCTCTTAAAACTTTTTTTCTGCTGTAGATAATTAATTTTATTTCATTATCGATCCGCTAATTTATCGATTTAATTATCTATGTGGGGTCCACAATTAGCCTTCAAGGCAAAATCTTTTAGACACTGAAATAAAGTTTATTTATGTATGTAAAAGGCGATATCAACTGGTTTCTCCTGCTTCATAACCTTACTAAGTTGCACTTAGGTGTGACTATGAACATGATACTAGTCTACACGTGTACGTTTGGAAAATATTCATGGAGAGTGTCCACAGTAACGCTGGTCAACTCGGTCCTTTTAATGGATGGAAGCATACTACATCGGAGGTAAAACAGTCTTAATTTGGCCTCCGGTTCTGTACTAAAACTCTCGATATCCTGAACTATCCACTAGTCAGCTGCAATTCGTGCGCGAGCAATCCTGTATTATGGTTTGGGCGTAAGCAACAGCATTACGCGCTGCACTAAAAGGCCAATGATATTAGCGGTTCCTCCACTTATTAATTTAATTTTGATTTTCTAGTTGCAAACACAACTGCCCATGGAGTTGCGACTTATGTCTCCTACAGTCTGTCAGTCTAATGAAATTATTATGGTTACTTAGAAAAAAATGATTGTAAAGCCTGCTTAAAAAAAAGTACATATCATCGATCACGAGAAATATAAACTTACGGCGTTCATTGTTGAAACACTGAGACTATGTAAATCACATACCATTTTCTCTTCACTGACCTCTAAGTAAACTACCGTGACTGATCTTACATCAGTTCCCTTTTCATTTATTGCATCCCTAACGTTACATCTTTGTAGGACGAGGCTACCAAGCCCAAATATTCAAACACCACTGTCCTAACCATACCCTCACATGAAGATGACGTACGGCTGCTAATGGCGCGAAACCCTCAGTTGTTCAACATAACGCTTGTGGGTGAGATGTACAACAGATACTTTGAAGCAATGCTTGGCTACTGGTTAACCAATGCCAATCAGTCTGTTACGTCATCTGACTACAAAACCTACGGTGGGCTGCTGGGTGGATCAAGGGACCCAACCGACCCCTCCACAGAGCCAAATTATCAAGGTGAGGAGTCTACGCTTGTGAGGAACGTTTTGTAGTAGAAACCAGTTGAATAACAGTCGCACCGAAAATACTCAGCACAAGGCAGAGTGAAAGAAATCCTGAACTAGCTCATAAGCATAAGCAAGTTACGACAACGAAAGATAATCACAGGCACACACAGAACAAACATGTTTCGTTCTTTTATGCTTAATCTGTGCTTATGTGGAGTGAGAAGTAGGAGCACTGGTTTTATTCTTGTTTCCAGTGCCACACGTTTTTAACGAGAATGAGCTGGTATCGAAAATCCCGCTTATTCCGCGATTGCAATCGTCTTACGCATATGTCCTGGTTACCTTGTGCATATGCATGTACCCCCAGATCAAATCAAATACCCCTAGACACTTCAATAAAGGTTTTGTTGTTGTTGTTGTTGTTGTTGTTGTTGTTGTTGTTATATGCCCTAGTGAAAGCCAGCCTTAATGGAGTCCCTCCTCCTGCTTATGAATGGACTGAATATTACATATTTTTCCTTTTAGGCGGTAAATATGGGAACAAGCTTCTATTTGCTTCTGTGGCTGTCAACACGACCATGGTTCTAAGCAAGACCGGACAAACTGAAGGACTCAAGGTGTATAAACACTGGGAAGACTTTGTAAAACAAAAGGTATGCTTGACGCAAATGATACACTCGAAACTCTTGAACTGATAACCTTCTCTTTTGATACAGACTTCTATGAAGTTTTGAATAACTACACGGCATAAATCAAATTTCAAATTGTCTAGACGATTCCAAGTTCCCCTTTAATCAGTAAACATTTAAGTCGGTAAACATGCAAGTTTCATCGATTAAACATCCTTCAGTTGTTAAGACTGCTTGTTAAAACGGATGAGAATTTGCCTACGAAAATAAATTTCATCAAACAACTAAGAGATCCATTTCAGAGAAAGATCCAATCAGAAACAAGGTGACTAACAAACAAACGGCTGAAATGCGAAGTGCTTAACATTACCACGAAGGCGGTTTCTTGACAACAGGTTCATGACTTTTCAACTAACTCTGTATATTATCACACTAAATTCAAACTTAATAGAAATAAAATTAATTACTCATTAAAAGTAAGTAAAAACAATTATCATAATAATTATTTCCATGTAAATATGTCTGATTCTAAGAAAGTCTGGAAGGGGATAAGACAACGAATATTCCTTGTGTAAATAAATCCCCCCCTTCAGTATCTCACAGTTCCCAAGATAGTTTCTTTCTATTTCCCACAACAACAGTTGAAATTGAAAATGAAATTATTGGGCTAAATGCTAATAAGTCTACAGGGCCTTACAGCAGACCAGTTGCTATTTTAAAAAGCTACCAAACGTGTTATATCTGTACCTCTAGAAATAATATTCAATGCCTCCTTTTCTACTAGAATTGTCTGAGATTTATTTAAAATAGCTAAAGTTACCCCTGTTTTTAAAAGGGTGAGCAAACAAGCCTAAATAACTATCGTCTCATTTCTATTCTCTCAATATTCAATAAACTGTTAGAAAAGTTGATGTATAAGAGAATATTAGAACTTCTGGAGAAGAATAAAGTAATTTATTGCAAGCAGTTTGGCTTCCGTGCGAAACACTCCACGGATCACGCTATCCTAAGCATCATTGACTTGATTCAACATGCGATTGACTGCCAGGAATTTTTTTGTGGTATATTTTTGGATTTCAGTAAAGCCTTTGATACTGTAAATCATAGACATCATAATATCTTGACTGAAAAACTAGATTATTATGGCATTCGTGGTGTAACCAAAGACTGGTTCACCTCTTATCTTACTAACAGATATCAATATGTTTCCTTGGGGCAAACTGTGTTTGAACTTCAACCTGTCTCTTGCGGTGTTCCTCAAGGCTCAGTTCTTGGCTCACTATTATTTCTCATGTATATCATTGATTTTAGTAACTGCTCTGAAATTCTAGATTTTCTGACTATTTGCAGATGATGCCAAGTCCTTGAATCCAAAGTAAACAATAAACTAGTAAATATTCATACTTGGTTGAGTGCCAACAAACTTTCACTTAATATTGATAAGTTAAACTTTGACATTTTCCACCCTCCACAAGAACTTACCTTTTCATGTCACACTCTCTTTAAATGGCACAAACTTAAACCAAGAGTACTCCGATAAAATATCTAGGTATTATAATAGATTCTAATTTATCATGGAAAAGTCAAGTAAGCTAAATTGCTATAAAGATTAAGCGAAATATTGGGATTCTTTCTAAACTTCGTTATCATGTGAATTCAGATATTGTGGTTAAACTACATTATGCCTTAATATATCCCCTCTTAACCTATGGTTTCATTTCTTGGGGTAACACCTAATCTCCAACTACCCAGCCTTTGTTTACTTTTCTAGTCCAATTTTCAAACACTTAAATATTGTTAAACTGCCTGACCTTGTCTTTCTTAATATTGCAGTCTTTATGTATAAATTTCACAATACACGTCTACCATCTGTTAATGCTGATGTTAACTGGTTGCCTGGCTCCGCTAGCCCCCTATGGTTATTCTAGGCAGCTAGTACTCTAATTTTTACTTTTAATATTTTCATTGTCGTATTATTTTGAGCAAGAGTGAGTACAAATAAAGATTGATTGATTGATAGATTGAAGATTGATTGTGTCTATTATAACGGACTGATTGATTTCTTGACTAGATATCACTATCACCTGACAGTGGCCAGGTATAAACTGGCACTGCGTTGACACTTATGATGGAATTTCGAGTAACACCTGTAAATGTTTTAGATATCAAAATACAAACTCTAATGCTTTGACAAGACGCTTGGTCTGTCAGCTTTTATTTAAGTTATGTAAGTGCTATTAATACAAAGGACTGAAACTTGTTTTCATTTCAGATGAGAACTATGCCTCCTTCATGTAAGAATGCCTTTCAAGCCACTCCCAATGGACATAACGCTTGGCATTGGCTCAAGGTTAAAAAAGTTAGTATTGCCTGCAAAGTAGTAACTATTGCAATATTGTTTGCTATATCGCAAGTTTCATTCTCAGCTCAACCACGTCGAAAACTCGACTCTGACAGTTCATTAGAAACTAATCTACTCGAGACAAGTGATGTACATGTGAACCTGTTTCCTTGAAATTTATTTCTTGTAATGAAAGTGTACCTCGAAAACTTGATCAAATGCGCTATGAAAGAATATAAAATATGCCAACTTTGTGAAAGAGTTCTTCGCTGACAAAAACATTTCTTGTTTTTTGGTCAGTCCAAGCACAACGAGGCAAGCGTTAAATTACGTTTAATGAGAGGGGGTTCATGTTGACCCTGTTCGGGTTAAGTCGCTATCATGACTTCATTAAACGTTTATAATGCTACAATCGTCAAAGTTTTCAACATTATTATTCCCTCTTTAGCAAGAGAAGTATTTTTCTTGTTTCTATCCAGTTATCATTTAAAGAAACCCGATAGGCGAGTTTTGGAGGACGAGAAATACCATCGGGAAGAGCACCCGGGCGTCTCAGCCATCTAATGAGTCTCTCGTAGAACTTTTTAAATTCAAGAGGTTTGAATCTCCTCTTCTTTATCAGGTCCTGGCATCAACCGCTGTGCGAGGTATCCTGCTGGGACTGGGGCTGGCCATCTCTTTGCTAGTAGTGATGACGTCAAACTGGATAGTGGGTCTGCTGTGCGGGGCCATCATCTCTTGTATCACTGTGGGTGTTGTTGGTGTTATACCGCTGGCCGGATGGAAGTTGGGCGTTCTTGAATCTCTCAATCTGACGCTGGTGGTCGGTCTTGCTGTTGATTACGTAGTTCATCTTGCTGACGGTTACGTGCGATCCCAGAAGCAATCACGCCAGGACAAAGTCCGAGAGACGCTAGGTCACGTGGGGATTTCTGTGTTGTCAGGAGCGAGCACGTCACTAGGGGCCTCTGTTTTTATGGTCGCGGCGAAAATTCTCTTTTTCTTTCAGTTTGGTATTTTCATGTTTTGCACCATTGGTCTTTCAATTATTTACGCTCTAATTTTGTTCACGACTATTCTGGGAATATTCGGTCCTGAGGGAAATACCGGATCACTGGAGCCGTTTTACAACTGGTGTAAGAGAAAGACTGGTCGTCCTATTCAAGAGGAAGAGATTCCTTGCGAAGAAATTAACGAACTAGGTTACCGGTCACCTTCCACAAGTCCCCGTAGAACAGCCACACCTTTATAACATCAGCTAATGGGCGAATTTACTCCAAATATCAGATACCTTTATACGCTTTTGACCGAGCATTTCTTTGAATTGGTGCATGCTTTTTGGAAATTATCGGGGTGGCTTTGCTGCACTTAGACTTGTCAGGTGACTTAACTGTTATAACCCTTGAACTTCTAACAAGAATCAATGTTAATTTTGTGCAATCTTAAACAAAAGATGTTTAAAAGGTGAAATGATATTTGTTTCAATTCAAACTCACTATTTGCAGTCACAACATAATCAGGGCGTTACAAATTAATATATTACAGACATACTTTTAGCAATTTTAAAAGTATTAAAGGAATTGAAAAAAGATTGGTTTCTTATAACAGGAAACCAACATATAGCGGAGGAGACAAAGCGAAAAGTACAACTCTGACTAAAAATTCAAAACAAGTCATGGCTATAATGTTTATAATAATATACATGAAAAAATTACTCGATTCTGATTGGCTGAGAGCAGTGCAGTTCAGGTGTAACACCAGTGCAAAAAGTGTAACACCAGTACAAATTACACATCCAAATTCTGGATTGTGATTGGCTGAAAGACAATAGGACATTTTCTAAGCCAATGGTATCACGTAAAATGATGACGAAAATTTTGTGCGGAAACTTTGAAAAAAATTTTCTCGAATGAGAAAAATGGCTTCACGCGAATTTTTTTCATGTTTATATTATTAATAAGTAATCATACAGTTTTTCACGTTCAATTTGGAATTAATTTGGACTTGTGAGTTTTTCAAAATTATTTTTGAAAAGCCCACTCGTGCAAATTAATTTCAAGTTGAAAACGAAACCGTATGATTACCTATACATTTACATTATACAGTAAGAGAAAATACAATTACGTCTTTAATTTATTTAATGTACTGTTAGCTGTATACAACATAAGCAGTGAGCATACACTATGAAAATAAGTAACCTTTGCAGATATTTAAAATTGCCTGAGACAATCCTATACCAAATTACTATGTCCTGTTCACGTCAGCGATAAATACATTCGATAACATCAACTGCTGCTGTAAAACAGTCGGCATTTAATTTTATATTGTTTTTCAAGTAAATTTGTTTTTAAAATTAACTTTACAATATATAGTAGGTATTCACTTTAATAAAGGTAAATATTACAGGAATGGCATTGATGAGTGGGTTGGGAGAAGCTTGGATCCCTCATAATTGATTATACATTTTGAGGAACAATTTACTCCTGTGTTTGAAATCTATAAGTATGAAGCAAGCTGATTTGGAAACTTCGGAGTACCAGTGTTAGTTGTGATTGAATAAAACAAAACGGAAAGTCTTTGCATAGAGTGTTCTCACATGACGTCACGGATGTCATGTTTGTGTTCTCAACAATGGACTTCTTCTTTGGGAAATGAATTCCTTTCTTAGAGAAATATTTCCTGTTATAAAATACAAACATGGACGCTGTACACTCCAAGATTGTTCCTCAGTAAAATTAATGAAAGATATTTTTTAAGAACTGACTTTCAAGGCAAAAAAAAAAAACGGGTCACGGAGAATGAGAGTTCCCTACTAAAGACAGATAGCTTGCTTATAAATATCGGCAATGGATAATAAAATAAATATTATTGACAAAGATTGTTTTGACCCCTGACTGTAGCCGGAAGTTTATCACTAAGAACTTCTCCTTCATTTCGTAAGTCAGCCCGAAGAGCCTTGATTTCCTCTGATTAAGAACATTTGAACGACAGCTGTTAAGCTGACAACAGAACATGGAACGTACCCCATGGAGACTTACTAATTGTTAGTAACTAGCTGCAAAATAATCTGATTTTGAAATGCATTACGGTTTGTCTGATATAAAGGTTTCAATAAGCCAGTGTACTTCTTAATCCACTGGGAAAGTCGAACGTATCACTCGACCGTTCAGCGGCATCACCTTGCGATAATTATCAACAATATTCGGCCCAGTCGTCTGCCAGAAGGGAAAGCCACGCAAGGCTCGAAACAGCTCCATTTGTTTCCTTGAAATTGTAATGGTTTCTTTCAGCACAATCCACGTGACGCTTTCAGAACAAGGAGGCGTAGTCAACGAGCCACTGTAGGTCCAGTAGTCCTTGGTGCTTGGGATCAGAGACCCCGGATCAAAACTAGACTTCATTTTGTACTTGTCGTCTTTGTACTGGACGCGTGGTAGGAGATCGCAAATAGGCGTCAACTTTTCACAATCGTCGCAGATTTCAAGAAAGACACCAATCACGGCCAGACCATTCTCCTGCGTCAGAGCGGTCTCAAAATTCTCGTACAAATCAACGTTCCAGTGAACCAGATGAAGCTCAGCTGGGTAAGCTTTTCCATTCACCAGATGTTCGGAGCCTTGTTTATCGCTGGCACCCCAGTGGAAGTGAAATTGTTTAAACTGGTATTTGTGAAGCAACGGCCCACCGCTCAGTTGATAACCATTTCCTGACGAATGAGACACCTCCACCGAGTGACCATTGTTCGTGATGGTATATGTGCTGTCTTTCATGTAAAGCGCGTGGAGAGGGGTCTGGGACAGAGTCGGGTCATGTTGAACGCAAGAAGCCTGGATATCAATTGGTGACTGCTTTTTACCGGCTGCGGCGGGAAAAGTGTTTGCCCAGCGGTGAGGCCCATGGAGGATAGAATAGTCCCAGACATGAGCCGAACCCGTCATCCTGAAAAATATAATCAAAAATATCAAGCTACAAATACTTGGACTTTAACACGCAGTCAAATGCAGCGAAAAACCGGGAAAACACCAATAGAAAGCAATGGTGAAAGTCGTGCTTGGAATTAATCATCTGAGGAAAGCTAATAACTAAAATACTTCATGTTTTCATCCATACACCGAATGCAAATATGGCGGATCACTCGGTCAGCGCCCGGGACGAGTTGCATGAAAGCGAGGCTAGTGAGGCTTTGATGTTTTGTTTTGACAATGCTTCCCAGAAAAGTCTTGCTTTGTCGTCGATCTGGT